CGTCAATAGCAACGTTTGCTTCTATGGATAGACTGTGTCCAAAAGATGTTTTGGAAGAAATGGCAGAAGAGGAACAAGTTTTATCTGACAAGACTAAGACAGAGTTGATACTGAAAGTGGATCTACAGATGACAGGCTACAAGAATGACATGGAAAAAGATGTTTCACTGGACATATAAAAGAAATCAGCTGATTCTTTAAAAATCAAAAGGGAATTACAAATAATAAACCAGGAGAGTGACCTGGATAATTCTTATATCTGATTTACAAAAGAGGTTTGTTAAACCTTGGATGAATCTTATAAGAAGGGGTAAAAAAGAAATGAAAAGAAATCAAGTTCTACAAGTTCTACTTGAATAGACTAAAGATTAAGATTGTTAAAAGTAAAAGGAAGGAATATAAAGTTGGTTTATTTGATCAAGGTTAAAATAGATATGTTGTTATTTCTGGCAACCCTTAATGCAGCCTTTTGCAGACACCAGGACTGAAATGATGATGCTTTATAGATTTGTTTATAGATAAGAGATGGGAATGGGATGAAGAGATCATTGGTTGTAAACTAAGAGGAGGTGAAAAGTTACTAAAATTGTTTATACTCGTGATGAAGGTTGGAAGTCACTTCTTTATATATTTCTTTTCTTTGTCTTTACCATTCTTCCTTTTCTCTATATTTTTCTTTTTCTTTGCACTTTTTATTTTCTTTCTACTCTTCTTTTAGTTTGTATTAGTTTTCACTATTGCAATTATAATCTTTAATAAAATTATTTTTTAAAGAGGTTACCAGCCAGTAGAGCCCCACTCATCTGTATTCTGCAGAAATTTGCTGCAGCTTGTGTCACAATGTGCACACCTGAAGTTGCACGCAAGGCCAACAAAGGACAGCTGATACATTTACCAAGTGGGAAGTAAAATTATTTTGAAATATATATTTTAGTAGACAGTTTCCACAAGGGAAAGAAATTTAGTCAGTAAATGAAGTAAAAGGCATATGTTTCAAGCACAACTCAGCAAAGAGGAAAATTACAAGATGGATCCATATGTATACAACCGTCACAAGATCCTGCAGCATATGATACTGTATGGACACAAAGACCCTTCTGCCCTAATAAGAATGCTCAGACTTAAAACACAATGAAACGAAGCTCAATAGTTCTTGCCATCCAAAGTTGAACCAATCTTCCAGAAGATAATAAACTAGAGATTACTTCTTCTCGCTTTTCTTTTCTTTCCAATTTATATATATATACACACTGATTTCAACCATAGATAGAAAGAACAGATCTTTGCCAAGAATTAGTTTGTTTATTCAGATAAAGAAGGTAACAATAAAAGTATGCAATCTGAACTTTATAACCAGTTATTGAATACAATGATTGCCTTAGAAGCAGATATTTTAAATATGAATATTTATTTAAAGACTTTAAAAAGTGTTTGATATTCGCTAGTTCTAGCTTTATTCTGGGAGGCAGTTTACCCTCCCCTTAATATGTAATGACATGGTGAAGATCTAATTATTTCAATGGGCCTTTCTAATCATCAAATTAGAGACAGTTTATCTTAATAAATATTCTTACTGGTCATCTGGAACTTCACAATTGTTCTTTACAGAAAGTACAATTCAAATAAAGGGTCCACATGACTCAGAGATTTGCTGCTAACCCTTCAAAAATCAAGAATATCTCTCCCATTATCAATCCTTTTGTTACAACAAGGTCAATAAGTTAAAGACTAACTTTGTAAGACCAACTCACTTCAATATTTTTTTAAATACAAGACAAGATCCAAACTATTTACTTCCTGAATTTGACATTTAGCATTTTTTTCCAAAAATTAACTGTGGGGGTTTTGTCCCCACAATTATGTAAGCTGCTAGCATAGCTATAAACTTGCAAATGTACAAAGGTCAAACAAGATTAAAGTCACATATAAATGTTTTGATGTAAGTATTATAAACAACAGGTCAGATTTTGAAAATCAATTTTTACACTCTTGGTAAGATAGGGTCTGTTACAGGAAAATAGAAAACAGTGATAGAACTCTTGCACATTTTTCTTCCATAAAGTACTGTGTATTTTTTAAAAAAAACAGCTTACCAGCAAAAGACATATGAATATTCCACTCAATACTTTGCTTGCAAATCTCTTACAGATTTTTAAAATCCATAGCATATTTTTATATGTATGATTAATATGAGGTTAAAAAAACACAGGGTTTGTTAGGAGAATAAGAAGTGCCACTGAATACCACTTCCTGGGAGGGCTGAGTGGGAAAAGACTGAATGCCTTCATAATCAGCTTGTGGGCCTTCCAGAAGTATGTTTAGCCACTGTGGGAAGCAGGATGTTACACCTCTGAAACCAGAAGTGCCATATAAACACAGTGACCAACATCATCATTTGATCTATTAACTCTCATGAATGTCTTCATCCCATTTAAAAGGCATCTAAGCTAGTAGCCATTACCACAACTTGTGGCAATGAAGTCTATAAATTAATTAGGCATTGTTTGATTCCCCTTGCTGCCAGGCCTATTTCTAATCAAATTAATTTGAAACAAAGAGCACGTCTGTTAGCATGTAAGATGGAAGTCCACGCTGTGCAGACAGGATGTGTGAAGGGCTGAAAGGGGGAGAACAGCCTCCTCCCAGCTCTGCTGATGGAAGCACTTCTATCAGTAGAAAGCCTTAATTGCATAAAAACTAACATCCTTTATTATATTGCATCCTCAGTTACCAGATGAACAATAGCAATTTGAGGAATATTCTTCCTATGTGTTCTTCCCCATTATACAAGTAGGACTATAACAACTCAGTGTCTGGCACTATGTCTGTTAGTGAAATTCTTATGTTTATTAGATGTGGCATTTGCTTTTCAAGTTGAGCTGGATTTTGAAGAAGCCTGTCATAAGGATCAAGCCTGGCCCATAAATTCACTATTACAAAGGCAAACCCAGTATCCAATGGAGGTGGTTCCCATTTACAGCATACCTAGAATAATGTTTATTGCAGACCTGACTAAAACACAAAGTCTATGCTAGAGAAAATTGTGCAGGAATTAAGTCCAAAGAATTTCCATTTGTGTGCTTTAGGCTATAATGGCATAGGGTAAATTCTGAAGGTACATGCATTTTTATGTCTAGCTTTGTTCTGTATATCAATACAGAATGCCTGGGAAACATACATGCTGCCTTAAGTACCAGGCTAGAAAAGAAGAATATGAATTTAATAAAATAAGCCCTCCTAAAATCAGTGGGACTTACTAACAAGTAAATATATGTGCAGGGAAAGCCATTTGGTGTATCTAATGCACCAAAATATAAAAAATTAATGTTTTATATCATTTAAAAAAGTAAGTAATTAAAAAAAAGATTTAACCTGAATTCATAAGCTTCCAGAGTTGATCTACCAAAGCTTCATTGCATAAAGGAGATTCCATGTTCTTGGTAAATGGTGGATTCTTTGTCAACATGTTTAATATTTTATGTCTAAAAGAGGACAAAAATCAACATTTAATCCACACAAACTCTAACCTGCAGGTTTTTATTCTTGCATTTTCTCAAATTTTGAAAGTCCTTAAATTTAATATTACAGGGTCAAACTTGTCCTTTGTGCTCACAAAAACATAGGAAATCACATTCAGTGAATTTGCCTAGGCTTCTAAAAATGCATCAACAGACATTTTAGAGAGAAGTCCCAGGTCAGTAACGGTCAGTGGAACTAACAAAACAGAGAAACCAACAGGGAAAAGAGGCTACGTTGTTCAAATCTTGCCATTATTCAGGTAATCAGGGATACCGACTTGGGCCACTAACTCTCTAGCTTAAAATCAGTAGGCAAAGCATACAACAAATATATCATTTATAATCTCTGTCCCCAATTACAAACCAGAAACCAAGTAATATTTTCTTTAGTACCCATATAGAATGATGTCTTACTCTGCTCTAATACACTGGGAGTAGTGTGAATTTAAGAAAAAAAATTAAAATAAAGGAGAAAAACTAAAGAAAAAATTAAAGTAGGATCTGAGTACTACTGCTATAAGCTATATTCACACAACATGCCTGGGTTCACATAAGATGTGGAGTCTGGCGTCATACAAACTGATCAATATAATTTAGTCCAGCATGTTGTATGAACCTAGCCATAACCCAAGGATAATTTCCATGTCTTGAAAAACTAAGATGTCTTGCAAATTTTCACTGCTGAAAAATGGAACTATGGCTAATAGAGCACTATGTATGCTTCCCAAGGAAAGGAAACACAATAGTATAATGTATTTTCCAAAAAAAACAAAAAGGCAAAATCATTTGACATGTGTAACCCAAAACCATACTCTTTTAAAAGTTGGAGTTATAAATGGGTTATTGGAAAAGCAATTTTACATTTACTGTACTATTTACATATAAAGTAAATTGAAATTCTGCAACTTTGCCAAAAAGGCTAACCTGACATAGGGCACTGGATCATTCTGGACCATGTTTAGCAGCCACTGTAGTTCCTCATAACTTCGGTCAACTGTAAGGATAAAAGTATGTCCTGTTAAACAAGATGGTCGCTCTCACTCATCAGAAGTAATTAGAAAAATTTTCTAGAGGAAGAAGAAGGAATAAACTTGCAAAACAATTTTTACAAAACATCACAAAGCAGATGCATCATGAGGTGTCACAATTAAAACTTCAGACAGAGAGAAACGAAGTATGGTTTAGTTACTCGCACGCTCACATTCTTGCAGTTCCTCTTTTTGGTTGCACAGTTGAGAACACAGTACCTACTACAAATCAACTGCCTCCATGTAAAATCCTCTCAGCAAAATCAGCATTGTAACTGGGAGGATTCTTAAACAGTTTGGCAAAATTGTACCTAATCCCTCTTACTCCAGCAGGAAGCTGGAGTATCTTCTTTCCTAGATCAAAGCACAGTAGTTCTTAAATGGTGCTCCACTCTTCATGGACAGATTCTCTAAAACATTGGGGAAATTAGTGCTATCTAGCATGCCCTGTGTTTACATGCTACAATGGTAGCAAAGCGTCTCTAGCAAATAAGTCTGTGAAGAAAATATGCCATTTTCAAGACTTAGTTATCTTGCAATTATGATAAGATTCATTATTGGTATGGAAAAATGGAACAATGCCCGTTTATTCACTGAAGGAGAAAATAAAAGGATAAGAACCATAATGACGAGAGCCAGATATGTTCCCTGACTCCATTTATTTAAGTTCCCTGGCCACCCAGGGTCGCTGGGGAGTTGGGTGGCCTCAAAATTGAAGTAATGAATAACAGTGATTCCAGTAATTAAGAACAAACCAACATGCTATGATTCTGGCTTTGTTTCTTGATCGCTCTGAAATAATAAAAAGTAGATTGAGAATCACACCCATTCAGCATAAACATGTACCCATGCATTCACACAAAGTCTTCTACCCATCTTAGTGTATGGAGTTGGGAAAGTTTAAACCTCCTCATCTGAGAACCAAAGTAACTTTGAAAAGAGGCATTATGTTGATGATAGCCAGTGGAACGAGGGAGAGGCTACATTTTCTGAACCTACTACAGTGGTGCTTAGAAGTCTGTGAACCTTTTAAAATTTTCAATATTTCTGCATAAATATGATCTAAAACATGGTTACACAACAAGTATAATGTTTTTGACTCAGTTGTTTCATTGGGTTCTCTTTATCTAGTTTTAGGACATGTGGAGAACAGGTCATGTTTTAGGTCATATTTATGTAGAAATATTGAAAATTCAAAAGGGTTCACAAACTTTTAAGCACCGCTGTATGCCACTGTTTGGCAGGCTGGGAAGAGCATCATTGACCTGGGAGTGTTGGGAGAACCATTTAAGTCACAGACAAGATTACTGTTCTCACATCTGTAACAGCAGTGAAATTTATAAAGTTGCAGGAAGAGGCTATTTTCTCCACAGGCTGCCTGATGCTTGATAGTCTAGAGAATGGGATAAAGCAGGCGGCCTTCCCTGAACAAAATGGACTGCAGAGAGAGTTGCAAAACCCCTGAAGGGTCGGGAGGGGGCTGCCCCTGTGCTCTAAAATGTGATGCACTGTTAAAAGAGTAGGAAAGAAAACTGCTCTTTTAAATAAAATAAAATACTTTATTATAAAAAAAATACATTATCCTCCCCACCTTTTGTATAATCAACAACTGCCTCCAAAGCTGCTATTCGAATATCTATAAAGTGGCCATATTCTGCATAAGATTTAAAGACAGCAGGATCACTTGGAACGTGCCCATTCTTCTGCAGGATCCGAATTGCATTTAAGCAGCTGTGAAGGAAAGGTATGGGAGAAAAAGAAATCTGCTATAAAATCCAAATTTCTAGCCACTGGAAATAAAAAACATGTTTGATAGCATGACCAAAATAAATGGAAGAGTATCATAATTTCTGAATTATGCAGAATTCGTTACAGGTAGTCCTCAACTTATGACAGCAATTGGGACTGGGATTTCCATCGCTAAGCAATGCGATTATAAAGCATGACCGCATTGCTTAGCAATGGCAATCACTGCAATTCTGGTTACCATTGTTAACTGAATCCCACGGCTGTTAGGCAAGGCAACTTCCTGCCGGCTTTCCACAACCAAAGTCAGTGGGGAAGCTGGCAGGAAACTGCAAGTCCCAGGCTGGCAGGCAGGTAATTGGCTGCTGCTGGGTGGTGGAGGGAGTGAAGGGATGTGCAGGGAGGGTGCATGAGGGGGTGCATGAGAGGTGCAGTGCTGGTAGCTGGCACAGCACAAGCGCAGAAGGGCTGGGGAAGGGTGTGTGGGTGGGGGAGACTTACCCCGGTGACTTGCGACCTTCTCTGCCAGCTTCCCCATTGGCTTTCTGGGGAAGCCAGCAGGGAAGGTTGCAAATGGCGATCATGATTGCAGGGTCCTACAATTGGTTGCAAGTGCAAACCGGTTGCCAAGCACCCAGATCATGATCAGATGGCTGTAGGAGTGCTGAGACAGCCAGGACTCTGAGGACCAGTCATAACCAACATTCATTCAGTGCTGTCGTAACCTTGAATGGTCACTGAATGAATGGTTATAGATCGAAGATTATCTGTGGGTAATGTTTCTTCAAGTTGCCTCTAGTACAATCTTATAGAAGAGTGAAAGTAATAAAAACAAGAGTGTTCTTGACTTCTGAAACTTATTAAGAAATATTAATGTCATTTAATATTTTCACTGAGTTATCCAATACAGCATGAACCCATCTACAATAAGAAAAACCTTGCAAGTAAATATGGAGGTAATCTTATATTAAGAATCTCTAGCTCCTATGGCTTTTTCTTCCCTTTTCCCTTTGTGTCCCTCCTGCATGAGATTCCCCTCCTGCTAGTCCCCCACTTCAGTGATCTAGGCTTGTAAAGAGAATGCCCTGTGTCACTCACAGCATGGACTGGAATGTGTTTTACAGTTGTACAGACTTGCTACCTAAAACACCCTTAACTGACTGTCATGACTCCATAAACGGTAAACTTTAGCTTCTATCACATTATAAATAGAAAATAATGTTAAAGAACTACAAATGCTTTTGTTTATTAATGCTTACTGGTTACTTTTTTCTCAAGGCAGTTTTTTCTGAAAAGATTTTCTAGGCACCTATTAAATCTCTCCTTTGTCTCTTGTGCATCTACTAATAATAATCAGAACATTTTAAAAAGCAACTTGGTGCAAGATCTGACTGACTGTATCAGGATTAACTGCTCAGTAGTATAAAGTTAAGGGAAAAAAGAGGAAATTCATCTGACTGTTTTTCAGGCTTACATTTCCAGAAGAATCATAATATTTCTGTATCATACCTGACCGTAATTGTGTGTCTGTAACTGGGTAGCAGTTTTTCCATGTTTAAGAACCTGGTAATCTCTTCAAGAATAAGGCGCACATCAGGATTTAAATTATCTAAAGTTCGGGCTTCATTGTTCACACTGACTGCAGGAGTTACAGAGTTTGCCAGTGCATCAATCAATTCTGCACGGTAATAGTTGTCTGAAAACTAAAGTCAAAGACTGAAAGTTATTAAGATGCAGTGCAGAATATTACAAAGAAAAGCGTCTGCCAGCCACATTCCACTAAACTGCCTGCTCTATACACACAAAGAAACTACTTGCAGGGCTGAACCCAAAGAACTTCGATTAGCGTGGTCCAGAAGGCGGGCCTTCTCTGTTGTAGCCCCCGCCCTTTGGAACATCTTGCCCCCGAGGGTGAGACAGGCCCCCTCACTCCAGGCCTTTCGGAGGGATTTGAAGACCTGGCTTTGCCATCTGGCCTGGGGCAGGGAGGGAGGATATCAAAAATGGGGTTGGCTGGCCCCTTAGCAGTCTGGTGTGGCCTCTATCGGCCTCTCGGATTTTTTAGCCTTTTTATCTTTCTCTTTGTAACTTTGGTTTTAT